AGGTTGGTAAAACGAGGACCCAGATTGTTGGGGGCAATATGCTGACTCTGTAAACCGCTTAGAGAGGGCTGAAAGCCCTATGAAGCGGTATATAAGTCTAACTGCTATTGCTATTGCTATGTTACCTCAGTCCTTTTTTTCATTAGACTAAACATACCTAATTCCTGCAACCTTTCCTCATACGTTTTAGCTTGGACAAAAAAAGTAACATTTAGAACAGTAGACCGGCATATATCATATAATTAGAATTTAATGAAGGTGTCAGTAGTTGCTGGCGCCATTTGATACTGAGATCATTCTCAGTTAGGAAAAAAAGCAACATGTTTTGCTAAACCTTTAATAATAAAATAAGTGTTCTGTACAGAAGTGGCGTACAAGTAGTCCTTATTTAGCAACCACAATTGGGATCAACAAATTGGTCATTAGGCTAAGCAATTCCTCAGTGAAACTCTAACCGTACTTTTACTTCAGCTTTATAGACTGAAAAGGTTGTAAATGCAAGAATTGGCTCTGTAAGGTTACTTGTTTTTAAATCATGTTGTAATTGCAAATTGTTGCTAAATGAAGTAATCCCTAAACAAGGAGTACCTGTCGTTAATAGCTGAAGATAACAATAATAATAATAATAATAATAATAATAATAATATTACTTGCAACATTATATTTCTATCCTATGTCATAATTTTTACTTTTATCTTTATATATATTGTAGTAGAGAAAATACTTACATTATCTTCTGATAATTTATCGATTGTCACCTTGGCTTCTATCAAATGGTTATTGAGGGCTATTATTTCGTGGCTTAATGCTCTTTTTTCTTCTTCATAGTGTTGAGCCTGGGTACAAAACAGTTCAATCAACATTTTTCCCTTCTAAAACGAGCTACTGAGCTGCTGTTTCGCCAAAGAATAATTGTATGAAAGGTCTTTTCTCTAATATTCCTCTTTTTTCCTGTTACATTTCTTATCAAGAATCATATAATAGAGACTTGAAAGCTGACATTTCAAAACACTCAGCTTTCATATAAATTGATTCTAGTCATTGTTTTCGGGTACCAGTATCAGGTATATACAACTGGACTGTAATATTTATATAGGACCTTCAGAAAAATATACTGTGCTTTTATATCATGTTGTAAGCCTCTAATGTGACAGCATGTTTATATTCTTATGGTCAATGTTTGCAAGACCGAGATACAATTTAAGGGTAATTATTTAAGTTTGCTTTTATAGATCCATCACAATTATGTAATATACCTTCCACAATTGACCTCAAAATCTGGCCCTCAATGTCTCCCAATCCTCTAGAGCAGATTTTGAAAAAAATATAAAGGAGTTGCAGAGTGGAAGAAAGTTAGAAGAAATCCCAGCAGAGGAATGGAAGTTTGTAGCATAATGTAGATTTTCCCTTCCTTCCTCCAAAACCTTTGATATGTCATGTTTTGGCCAATTCTTCTCAGTGTCCTGAGCTGTTTCCTTATTTCTAAGGTTTCAGTTTTGCCATTTAGGGCAGTGCTTTGCCAGAAGTGTTTATATCTGAAGAATACCAAATATTCTCTCAACAATCATTTAAAGACCACAGTTCTTGATCTTTGCACTGTAGCCCCCAGGGCTCCATGGGATATTTTTAGTTTGTGAGAAAAACACAGCAGTAGTTCACAGTTTTAGCCTACAGGTGCTGTGAAACAATTACTGAGGCACTTGGGGTGCCATGAACTGAGAAAGTTTGGGAACCTCTGATTTAAAACTTTCTTTTAAAACAATCCTATAAAATTCAAGCAGCAGTAAGTAGTGTGATATTTTGATATACCTCCTTTAGTGCCAGAGTCACTTGGCTAATAATCTAAAAAATAAACGTGAAGCAAGCAGGCTGCAAAACAACATCTTTATTGAGAAAAGATGCCCTGAACTTATAGTTAGGTAGACCTTCACAGAAAGTCAAAATGCAGCCTAGTTGCTTTGTGATTATAGCTCCCCAAAAACAAAGCAGGATAGACAGAAGAATATTGGGGAACTAGAAGGGCTAGTGGGGAGTAGCTTTACTTGCTTACCGTCTTGTAAACACAATTCTTTTGTGGTTGACACCCATCACATGAAGAGACAAACTTCCATGACAACTATTATGTGAGATGCCGTATAATCCATCTTTAGCATTCCAAATATACTTAAAAGACCACCCCAAGCCTCTATTAAATTAAAACATTACAAGCCATCATGTACCAAAACTGACTGAAATAACTTCTGTAAGCTTGAGGCGCAAAGATTTTGTGCTTCATTCCAGTCAGTTGATGGAGGGACCCATAGCTAGCCTTATTTTCTTTAAGTTCATGCAATTATTTGCTGGCAGAAGAACTTTTTCAATGGGGACATCTGCACTATTTTATCTGCCAATCAATTGGGGTAGTGGCTCAAGGCAATTTTTCTTTCAGTGCAGCTGGAGAAACAGATGGGAGCACCAAATGCATCCTGAAGGTTCTGACAAAAATGTCCACAAATTGCATCAAGACAAAATACTCATACAATGATTTTTATTTCACAATTTTTAAAGTGTACCTGGGAATATCACTCAATGCAACCTGAATATTGCAAATGTGCTATCATATCATTGCAAATTAGAGCGTTTGGGTGGTTTGCTCTGCTCCAGGGTGTTTTATCTTACCTTTTCCCTGCTTTTCCCTCTAGGTTTACAGGTGCCTAAAGGTATAAACTAAGCCAGGAGTAAACTATGCATGCCTACTGGCAAATCATGTGATGTCACTTGCAATCAATTAATAATAAATTATGGTTTCAAATTATGCTTTATTCATAAGAACAGGTATCCCTATTTCCATATTAAGTTTCCATATTAAATTAAGGTCTAAAGCGACCAACCATTTAAGTGTTTTTTTCCAAAATCCTCCTTCTCCTCCTAATCGTCATCAGCTCCCAGCCCGCAATAATACTACTGCTATTATTATTTCCTCTCATTTCTGCAGCCTTTTATTTCTCCTTGAAAAGAAAGGAGAGAAGATAGGAAGAAACACCACCACGCATATTCCTTTTAACAATTTCCTCCTCTGCAAAATCTTCACTTCCTTTTTATTGCAAAACTGCAACACACTTCTCACACTTCTCCACTGCTTTGTATCCCTGGGAATAAGACTGTCCAGTTTTATCAAGGTACATGACGAAACATGGAATTGGATTTTCTCTGATATGCTAAGCACTGTCCCACATTTGCTCTCTCTATTACATGAGATAAGTATAAGTATAATCTTTATTGTCATTGTACTTAAGTACAACGATAGCACAGGAAGTTCCAAAGTCCTGTTTCTAGCCCCCAATTTCTTTTTTTCCCTCTGGAAGATTTTTTTAAAAAATGAACACAAACAGACAAAAACAAAAAACACAAAACCATCTTCCATTACAAATTGTAGAAAGTGTGTCGGTTGGTTACAAAAACCTCTGTGCGTCCCTTCCATAGTCATCACCTATAATTCATATCGAATCACATATTTTTAAATCAAGTATGCAGTATTTATATACATTGCTTTCATCATACCTCAGTCTTCATTTGACTGTAATTGTTTTTACATCCTTTTATGTGAAATATTCCAATTTAAAGCGAAACAACATAATGGCATTCCAATTTCTTATTTATATTATTATGATGAGATAAAGTAATATCATATTTTATATTATCTTTTAATGCAAAATTCTTACAGCATTTTGTAAAATCCCAAAATCATTTCAGCGTAACCACCAGGCAAAAATCAAGGAAAACATCAGAAGAAAAGTTTGAAGAATAAACCATGTAAAAGACAATCTTTTAAAAGACAACTGTTATGGGGAGGTGACAGAGGGACAGGATCCATCCAGCATCATTACTTTTATTCCTTCTAATTGGTTTAGATATTCATGGTCCCTTGCCACCCACTTTATTGTATCCTGAAGTAAGAGAAAAGTGCTGCTTTTGGAGGAGAGGAGAGGAGAAAACCACATGCTCACAGCAATGCTGTAGTTTTTTTTTCCATTCTGTCTTTTTTTAGAAGAACTTCTTGCTTTGAGAAAATATTTGTATGCTATTCCTTATTTTGATGTTTATCGTAACTAGCTGAGTAGGAAATGTTTATTTGTGCATATGGAACACAGGGCAAAGGTAAAATGTGATTATAGAAATCAAAACGTGACAGACTGCTTACAAGAGAGCAACACGTAAGCGACTTCAAGACTTTATTTTTGGGTGGATGGGAAATTATGCATTCCCAAATTTAACTGGTGGCAAAAAAACAACAACACAGTTTTTACTATCTCAAGGCAGGTTTCCACTGTTTCCAAAGGAATGTATTCAGCATGCAAGTTGAAAAGGCAACAAATTTAGCTGGTTAACTTATTTCAAGTAAAGCAATTCCAGTGGAAAACATTAAAAGAAGAGAAACTAATAAATTATTACATGTGCAAATTCTCTGAGAACGTTTTTTTTTTGTCTGTAAAGAAATAGGTATGTCTTACAGGTCAAGCCCGGGATAATAGTTCAGCATGAATTAACAGTGTCTCTAATATTCTGTGGAAATTAATTTGAAATGCTTGATGAAACTGATACCACAGGTGAATATCTTTAACAGGCATAAAATGAAAATGATGATGTTAATAAATGCAAAGCAATGTCCAGATAACCATAACAATAACAATAGAAACTTGGTTTTGTGGTTTTATCTTAAAAACAGGATTTGCTTGAATGGAGTTCAGGAATGCAATTGGGGAGTAAATTTAATAATAGACACTTTTGTTACTCAGTCTACATGCAATGTTTCTTGTGTACTTTTTTGAATACTACTCTAAAATATACACATTTCTATAAAATTTACTTAAGGTTTAAATGATATATTCAATTCCTACACTTGGAGCATGTACAATGGATTAGAAAACATCTTATCCAACTACTTTCATCTGTGTAGATCTCTACCTTCATATTGCTTTTTCCCTCCAAATGCTCTATTTAAAGATGAATAATAATTTCATTTCCCACCCCCCTTTTTTTAAGAAAACAAGGTAATTTGTATTTAACACTGATTTGCAAAAAAATGGTTACTTTTGGATGTATTTAGAATAGAAGAGAACAGAACAGAAGACGGAACAGAAGTTCCAACGGAGTTGGAAGAAACCTTGGAGGTCTTCTAGTCCAATCTCTTCTCAAAAACTTCGAGTGTTGGAGAATTCACAAGTTCTGAAGGAAAGTTGTTCCACTGATTAATTATTCTAACTGTCAGGAAGTTTCTTCTTAGTTCTAGGTTGTTTCTCTCCTTGATTAGTTTCCACCCATTGCTTCTTATCCTGTCCTCAGGTGCTTTGGAAAATAGCTTGACCCCCTCTTCTTTGTGGTAGCCCCTGAGATATTGCAACACTGCTATCATGTCTCCCCTACTTCTTCTGTTCATTAAACTAGACATACCCGGTTCCTGCAATCGTTCTTCATATGTTTTAGCCTCCAGTCCCCTAATCATCTTTGTTGCTCTTCTCTGCACTCTTTCTAGAGTCTTCACATCTTTTTGACATTGTGGTGACCAAAACTGAATGCTGTATTCCAAGTGTGGCCTTACCAAGACATTCTAAAGTGGTATTAACCAGAGGTGAAATGCTCTGAAGTCTGCTACCAGTTTGCTTGTGCACACACATGCACTTTGCATGCTTGCATGCCAAAAAATTTTAAACATTTTTTTACTACCGGTTCTCTTGAGAAGTTCCGATGATCAGCTGTGCGACAATCAGTTGTGCCGCGTGATTGTCGGAACTTTTTTNATTAAAGCATTTTTTAACTACCAGTTTTGCCATTTAAAAAAAAGTTAAAAATGTTCTGG